TATCTTATTTCCCCTGAGATTATACTTATTACAAGTGTACATAATATCTGACACATGGTCTGAAAACTACTGAGAAAAGTTAGATTGGCACTGCTATGTTAGTGAGGGGTGTGGCAACACGCACATTGCATGACATATTCCCACTCCGATATCACTCAGTTCAATGATAATTTCAATTAACACACACTTTGGCGAAAATTGTTAGTATCAAAAAGTATGGAGTATTTCCTACTTTCCAATGCTTCCCATAAAGTAGATGTTTGGAGCATGACAGACAATAGTCTAATTTTTGTAACATTTAAACTGAATATCCTGTGATTTTTTTTTTAAGTTCAACACTGACCTAGCACGGTTTCCACTTAAACTGAATATCCTGTGATTTTTTTTTGTTTAAGTTCAACACTGACCTAGCACTGTTGCTATTGAAAAATCAGTGGGAGTTTTACTACTGACATCACCGGGAGCAGACTCAGGACAGTCCTGAGTTCTTTTGAAAATCTCATCCTAAATTTCGCCATCCTTTTTGGCTATTAAGGAAACCATCATTAGTCAGACTAATACAATATGGTCTTCTGGGTTAGCAAACACACCGTTCCATTGTCTAGACATTGACAGGTGCTCACGTTTTCTTATTGCTGTTTGGGAAATTTAACGAGACTAGACAGTTTTACTACTGTTACTGAGATCTCTGGGGGCAGATGAATAACTGACTATAATAATGTTAAATTAATTTATTTGAGGGAAAGTTGCGAGCAGCTAGAAGAGCAGGATGATGCAAGAAAAAAAATCCAAAAGGTGCATGGGTAGTAGAACAGTGGACAACTGCCTCCTGCCTGCAGAATCAAGGAAGCAAGACTGAGGACAGAATAAAAGAGATTGCTCCTTCTCTCTCAGCTGCTGGGGGATTCACAGCTAACAGGCACCTTCTACTCAGAGGCCAATGGTTAAAGTGGTACTTCAAAACAAAATTCACAGAAAGCAGCTTGGTAGGAATCCCAGAGACTTTCTTCAGTCCCTGTGGAATTTTATCAAGACACGGCCCCATGGCATTGTTATTGGTGAGCCCTTATCCCCCCATTTATTACACCTTCTAGCCAGAGACCAATTGTATTCCCAACTAGTCCATGACTGATGCCTTTCCTCCCTCCCCTCCTCCCACATAAAATGTATTTTTTTCTTTTTATCCTATGACACAGAGAAGGAAGGCAAGATCATGACCAGTACGGATGAAAGAACAGAAGATAAACTACAATAGCAAAGATCTTTCCGCATTCTAAGACAGATTCAAGAATTCTACTCTGGGAAGTATAGTTTATCATGCTGCCAATGATGTAGCAAACACTCCTTTTCAGAAAAACAGTGAAACTTTTTGCTATTAACCACCCTGAACCGTTGTTTATTTCAACAGCATCAGAGAAATGTATTCATTCCAGTCAGGTGAAATAAAGCTATAATCGCAACATTTGGCATGTTAAACAAATGACCTGCCTCTGACCCTTATCACAGGCTGTTTACCTCCCAGCAACTCAGACAAAGAATGCTCTCTTCAGAACACAAATCATACATGCCACATAGCTAACTTCTACTGCTCTCCAAAATAAGATAAAGTTGATAAATTTCATTGAAATTACTACAAGGCAACATGGATTAATACAAACAGGGCTATCCATGTCAGATCTCTCTCTCAAACAATTGGTAAAAAACAAGTTTAACTAAACAAAAGCCCAACAAACCTATCTGCATTCCCAGGGCCGTCGCTAGGGTAGTGCAGGGACAGAACAACCCCCTCTCAACCCCACTGCACTCCTTCCCCCAATTTCCTGCCCTAACTCCACCCCAATTCCTCCTGTTCCCTCAAGCCCCTGCCCCTCCTCTCTCAAACAACATCCAGAACTGACGAGACAGAATGGGACTAGTCTCTCTACTGCTGGCTTCTGGACAGCCCACACCCTGGGGCAACCACCCAGAAGCTACAACTCTGTGCTTTCTGTCCTTCAGAAGTTACAGCACTGTGCATTCCATTTCTATCATTCAAGTACACTTACAAAAAGGGAGGTTAGCTAAACAAATGCTTCTATTCTGTTCCAGTAACAGGAATGCACAAGCTTGTACCCACCTGAAGAACACACAATTCTTCTACAAACTGTAAAAATTGGCAAGAGGTTATATCCATGTCTCAGGAATTCTTTTGGTGACCATTTTAGAGAGAAATTATGCACATCTACATTCCCATGGAAGTGCAAAGTAGCACTTATGGCCAAAATGACACCTATCCATGCATAGAAACAGAATATATAACTTAAAAAAAAGTTCAAGATTTTTAAAAAGTGACTAGTAATTCTGAAAGCTTCAATTGTTAGTTGGTGTCTAACTTGAACACCTGAAAGGGGCATGATTTTCAGAGAGGTTGTATTCAAACTTTTTGAAAATTGGGCCCCCAGAAACCCAAAGCACTCAAAATCTCTAATTTTCTAAAATCCAAGCTTGTAAACACGTCAGCATTCAAACTGAAATCACTGATATGCATCACAAGTCAGTATGCTGGGCTGTATAATTTGATTTGTAGTAAGAACATTTTGCATTCACTCAGCATATTTCAGATTCAGTTGCACTGTTGTTTTTTAAATCATTAACAATTCTGTATTCTGATTTTTTAAACTACACAAACAATCAAAGCCAAAAGTCTTATAGCACTCATTAACAATTCTGTATTCTGATTTTTTAAACTACACAATCAAAGCCAAAAGTCTTATAGCATAGACCACAGCATTGCTCTATAGATTTAGAAGCCTATTTTTTCCCTTCCATGTTTCTAAAGAGCATATTTAGTATAAATAGTACCCTACTCTTCTTAAATTTTATTAATTTAGAAATATGTAAACCAAAATAAGACAAATGCTCGCTTTTATTCAGTTAGGCCTGGTCTAAACTAAAGAGGAAAAAGTCAACTTAAGATATGCAACTCCAGCTATGTTAACTACATAGCGAAGTATCTACGTAGCTAAGTATCGCATTTTAGCGCTGTCCACGCAGCGGGAGGTTGACGGGAGCACACACTCCTGTCGACTTCCCTTACTCCTCATGAGGAGCAGGACTACTGGCACCGATGGGAACACCCTGTCAGTTCAAATTAGTGGGTCTTTATGAGATCCACTAATTCGAACCCTGGAAGATCAACTGCAGCAGCATCGATCATCTCCTGAGTGTAGTCTTACACACAAGACATTTTAAGTGGCACAATACACACATTTTTGATGCTACAGACACTTTTAGGGAAAATAGCTAAAGACTTCATTCAGTATTTAATAACTAGGAATGGAAAAGAATAGAAGACAAAAATGCTTATGGGAAAATATTTACCTATACAAATTTAACATAAGTTAGAGCCCAGACAAAAATGCTTATGGGAAAATATTTACCTATACAAATTTAACATACGTTAGAGCCCTAAACTTTCAGAGTCCAATACAGAACATAATGCAACTCTGAAAATGGAAGAGGTAAAGGTAACTACAGGTTGAACCTCTGAAATCCAGCACTCTCTGGTCTGGCAACATCCGTGATCCAACCAGAGAGCCCAGCTGCAAGCAGGAAGTCCAGCCAAGGTGAAAATATTTACCTATACAAATTTAACATACGTTAGAGCCCTAAACTTTCAGAGTCCAATACAGAACATAATGCAACTCTGAAAATGGAAGAGGTAAAGGTAACTACAGGTTGAACCTCTGAAATCCAGCACTCTCTGGTCTGGCAACATCCGTGATCCAACCAGAGAGCCCAGCTGCAAGCAGGAAGTCCAGCCAAGGTCAGGAGCGAAGCCCCAGCTGGTGGCAGCAGGTCCAGCACCCAGAAGCCGCTCCCAGGCCAATACCTGGGACTTCAACCGAGGCCGGTATGGTGGGGAGCATAGCAGCAAGGTTGGTGTGGCAGCAAATGGATCCCAGCAGCCAGGACTGGGAGTGGACCTCCCCTGGTTCAGCAAACAACCTGATTTGGGACTGCTCAGGTCCTGAGGGTGCCGGACCAGGGGAGGTCCAACCTGTATCCTGACCAGTTCCAAATGAGGGATTTTGCCAGACCAGGGGAGGTCATTTCTGGCCCCCCGCTACTGCACACCCAAGTGGCTCTCCCCCTGCTGCCGGCCCCTCTGCATGCAGGTGTGCTGCCAGGTGGTAGCCCCACCACTGGTCTCCAGCCCCACCACTTCTACTGCTGAGCAACAGCTGCTGATCTCCTGGATTTGCCACCAAGTGGCAGCCCAAATGCCAAGCTGCCAGCCCCACTACTAGGCTCCAGCTCCACTGCAGGGCTCCCAGCCTTTCACTAGGACTCTCTGGTCCTGGAACATCTGTGGTCGTTGCCAGACCACAGATTCATGATTTAGAGAGGTTCAACCTGTACCAACATGTGGTTAAGCCTACCCCGGCCAGTGAAGTCACACTAAAAGAATGCTGTTCTTAGAACTGTTTGCCAGCCCTCATTCAGAAATTAAGTCAAGTAAACATTCCTACTCAATGCCAGCTCATCTTCAGTGGTTCTATCTGCCTGCCACTAGATTGAAATCTATGTTTTATGATTGCTTCCTGTTACTCTGAATTACTGAATATTCAAAAGACCCAAAAATGTCCTACATTATGCCTCTGACTGGCAATTATTTGAGTCCTATAGCAGATGCTTATTTAAGGATACTAAGCTTTTTTTACTTACTGTACACTACGGAGCAGTAAACTTCTTCCACAGCAGTTCCTAAAAGACTGAGCCATTTGAATAGCTCTGAGCCAGTTTTACATTCTCTCTCTCTCAAAAAACCCCCCAAAAAAACAACATATTCATAGAAAAGCATGTTTGCATTTTTGGGGGAAGGGACCTGTTTTTTTTTGAGCAAGGCACTGACAGACTTTCTATTATTTACATGTCTCATAAATCCTTCCCCATCCCTATACCTCCTTAGGAGAAGAAAGCCTGCCTATATAATCAATAAAAACAAACAAGTCACTTACTGTTGATGTGATCGATATAGTAGACACCAATCTGAGGGTCATATGCAGCCTCCCATCCCCATGGTAGTTCATCCCCAACACAATCCGCAAATGACAAAGGCTTTGTTAACCTATAAACAAAATAGAGTAATATAATTAATGCAACAGGACTTTTCTTGAAAAATTCTGGACCTATCCTATTGTTCATAATTAGAAGCTCAGGATTGCTGTAGAGGGCTAGAAGGAGGAAAGGAAGAAAAGTTTCCAAGTGACATGGAAAAATAACCTCAAGTTCTTGGATGACTTTCCAGGGATATCCTGATATGTAAACTCAAGTTTAGATTGATTCCAAAGTACCAGTCCTCTGTTTTAAATAATAAAATCATTCTCCCTCCCCAATGACAACCCAGAAAATTCAGAGAACAGAAAATAATTTCACATGATGTACCATACATGTACTGTAATCCTATTCTGATGGATGTTATCCTTGGAAGCATGAGCAGCAGCATGAAGTAAGACTACACCAAGATAGACTTCTTACTGAAGAACACTAAAGTCTGTTAATTGTGTGTGTATTAGCAATCTAAGCAAGGTGATTATACCAGACATTAAAAAGAGCATGTCTTCACTAATGATTTTACTGAACCAATGTGCAACCTCTCCCTAGCTCAGAGAAGAAATAGAATTTATCTACTTCAGAGGGGCCTGATCCAGTAACTACTGAATTTAGTGCAAATCTAATCAAGCCCAAATAAAGTTTACACCAGTGTTTGTTTTTTCAAATTCTTTATTACTGACAGCTGAATTGGTGCTAACAGCTGCTTAAATGCTAGGACAGGGAGAGCATAACATTTTTACTCTCTCAAATCCTAGGGTTTCATGGAGGGATATGAAAAGTTAACCTTAATGGGTGATGCTTAACTGTTCCAGTTAACCAGTGGGGGCTGAAGCCATTCCCCAGCCATCATGGTCAGGGGGGCTGCTCCAGCCCTGCGGGGCCCACCATGGACTGTTTGGACATATTGCAGGTAGGGGCAGGGCTGTTCCTGGCTAGAGCAGCCCTCCCCGGCTGCTCCTCCCTTTAATCAGTTAACCAATTAAAGATCACATTTAAACCGGTTAACCAATTAAACAGGATTTTACATCCCTAGTTTCAGGTCACAGTAGTAAGAACAAACACGTGTCCTGAATGCATCAGTGAAGTGGCATCCACTAAGAGGCAAAAAAAGTGTTACCACAAACAAGACCGTAATGTGAAAAATACTCTTCTCAAGAGGCAGCAGACTTGCTAGATCCAAGTCCTGAGGAACTCTGTTGGATGCCATCACACCATCAAAGCCCCTGCAAGATTACTTTGAGAGCCTTATATCTTCACATTCACTTTCCTTACTCACCACTGACTTCCTTTTTTTCTGTGCATGGATTATGTTTTTGCATCCCTCATTTTTCTCCTTCCAAGCTTCAATCCACATAAATACTTAAAGAATTCAATTGTTATCACAATCAATATGACCCATAAATGACTAAATTTTTTTTACTTAATGACTAAAGAACAATAATCATTAAGAACTAAACTGCAACTCTGAAAGTTTGCCTAGGAAAATTCTTGCATGGTGTTTGTGAAAGGAGAAAGACAACCCCAATGTGAATTCTCTTTGTATGAAATGTATTTTGTGTGGGGGGAGAGAGGGAAGGAGTGCGTGCGCGCACATGCCCATGCCTGCATGTACTGTTTTGAGGGGAGGCAATAATTTTTTTTTTAAATGACTGATGGCAGGGTTTATAGGAACTACTATTTCTAGTAAGGCACAATGAAACAGACCATAAGCATAATAAGGTTACATTACATAATAGGTTACACTATCAGAAAGAGATATTATTGTCTTTTATAGCTAAAGTTGAATAAAGGCTTCCACTATTATACTTTTACTTCTTTTGGAACAAAAGGAGTACTGACTTTCTAGCTGAAAGACCAGAAGCTATATAGAATACTGACATTTTAAGAAAAAAAATAAAATAAAATGATTTGGGGATTTACTGTCTACCAGGGTTGCCAACCGTCAGTACATTTATGGACAGTCCGTAAAAAATTAGCCAAAATTGGACATGTCCGTAAAGTCTGTAAAAAAATGTAAGTGTCCGTAAATTTCGTAAAAGCGCAATAAAATTTCAAAAACCAGCAATTATTCTATAGCAATTAAATTTCTTCTGTGCCGCTTCAGTCATATTACTGCAGAGCAGCAGAAATTGGATGTTTTAGTTGTTTATTTAGCTCAATGGTTAAGGTGGCGTAACGTGAATCACGTGATCCATGTGATGTTATCATCTACATTATCCTACTGAGTTAGCATCTGTAAAAAAATGTGTGTGTGTCTGTAAATTTTTCCCATTTTGCACGTAAATGAAATTTCTGTGGGTTGGCAACCCTGCTGCCTACCTAGCAATAGGACTGGAGATTGCACCATAAGAAGACCTTGAGGAAAGAAGATAATGGTATACAATAGCAGAATTCCACAACTGTGTTGACCATTTTCATCTTAGTCCAACTCCCTTTTAGTGAAGAGTATACTGTATTAAAGGTGAAGTAGTAAAAGTTAAAGATTTAATACACACCACGTTTATCACAAAAAAGCCCTCACCTTCCCATTTTCTCCTCATCTTTTTTTCCCCTCCTCACAACTGAAACCAAAGAAAGTTTGTTTGGATTTTAGGGATGGAGGGGGTATTATAGGGCTATGAAATTTAGAATGTTTTATTTTGGGGAAAACTTTTTGTTGTTCATTTGTAACTGAAAATCATTTTAGGAAGACAAATATCTTGTGAAGTTAGATTCTGCTAACTAGAGCATAGGCTTGGTTTTGAAACATATGGTCCACAAAAAACCCCTTAAACATTATAAGCATTATAGGAACTGAATTTTAAACACACCTACAGCCCTGGTTCAACTCTCCCATAAGAACAACCATAGAGGATCAGACCAATGATCCATCTAGTCCTGTATCCTGTCTTCACACAGTCACCAATGCCAAGGATGCCAGATGGAATGCACAGAATAGACAATCAGCAAGTGAACCATCCCACTGTCCACACCCAGCTTCTACTGAACGGAAGCTAGGGACATTCAAGAAGTTGCATCCCTGACCATGATGGCTAAAAGCCATTGATGGATCTATCCTCTGTGAATTTATTTAGTTCTTTTTTTAACCTTGTTATAGTTTTGCCATTCATAACATCCTCTGGCAAACAGTTTGACAGGTTGACCATGCATTGTGTAAAGAAGTACTTCCTTGTGTTTGTTTTAAACATGCTGCCTCTTAATTTCATTGGGTGACTCCTAGTACTTATATTATGTGAAAGAGTAAATAACACTTGCTTATTCGCATTCTCTACACCAGCCGAGATTTTACAGACCTCTATCATTTCACCCTGGAAAAGAGATGATTAAGGGGGGGGATAAGTGCCAGTCTTTTAAATCTTCCCTCTTATGGAAGTTGTTCCACATCCCTGATCATTTTAATTGCCCTTCTCTGTACCTTTTTCAATTCCAATATATCTTTTTTGAGATGGAGCAATCAGATCTGAAGATGTGGGCGTACAATGGATTTATACAGAGCACTGTGATATTTTCTAACTTATTAGGTATCTCTTTCATACTGATTCCTAACATTGTTAGCTTTTTTGGACTGCTGCTGCTCATTGAACAGCTCTTTTTAGAGAACCATCCACAATGACTCAAAGAAATCTTTGAGTGGCAACAGCTATTTTAGGCCTGCATCATTTTGTAAGTATAATTAAGAACCATGTTTTAAAATATGCATTACAGTACCTTTATCATAGAAATATAAAAGATTAGAGTTGGAAGAGAACTCAGGAGGTTATTTAGTCCAATCCCCTGCTCAAAGCAGGACCAATCCCAACTAGATTGTCCCAGTTAGGGCTCAGTCAAGTATGGCCTTAAAAGTCTCTAAGGATGGAGATTCCACCACCTCTATAAATAACCTGTTCGAGTGCTTCACCTGCTCCTATAAAATAGTTTTTCTTAATGTCCAATCTAGACCTCCCCCACTGCAACTTGAGCCCATTGCTTCTTGTTCTGCATGTGCCACCACCGAGAACAGCCTGGTACCTTGGAATACCCCGTCAGATAGTTGAAGACTGTGATCAAATTCCTCCTCATTCTTCTCTTCTGAAGACTAAATAAGCCCAGCTCCATCAAGCTCTCCTAATAAGTCATGGGCCTTAGCCCACTAATGATTTTCATTGCCCTCCACTGTACTTTCTCCATTTGTCCAAATTCTTTCTGTATTGATGGGCCCAAAACTAAACTCAAAACTCCAGATGTGGTCTCACCCATGCTGAATAGAGGGGAATAATCACTTCCTTCAATCTGCTGGTAATGCTCCTATTAATGCAGCCCAATGTGTCATTAGCCTTCTTGCCAACCAGGGCACACTTTGGACTGACATCCAGCTTCGCATCCATTGTAATCCCCAGGTCCTTTTCTGCAGTTGTTTCCCAGCCTGTAACAGTGCTTGGAATTCTGCTGTTCTAAGTGCAGGACTCTGCACTTGTCCTTGTTGAACCTCAGCAGACTTCTTTTGGCCCAATCCTCCAATTTATCTAGATCACTCCAGATCCTATCCCTACCATCCACGATATCCACCTCTCCCTCCAGTTTAGTGTCATCCAAGAACTTACTGGGGATGCAGTCCATCCCTTCATTTAGATCATTAATGAAGATATTGAACAAAACCGGCCCCAGGACAGACCCCTGAGCACTTCATTTGATACCAACTGCCAACTTGACATGGCACTGTTGAGCTCTACCTGTTGAGCCTGATGATCTAGCCAGCTTTCTATACACCGTATAATCCATCAATCCAATACGTATTTCTTTAACGTGCTGGCAAGAACACTGTGGGAGACTGTATCAAATGCTTTGCTGAAGTCAAGGTATATCATTGTTCACCGCTTTCCCATAACTACAGAGCCAGTTATCTCATTATAGAAGGCATCTTTGAAGATTACCACAATATCATCTGCCATTTTGTTGCCCAGTTACCCAGTTTTGTGAGATCCTTTTGTAACGTTTTTAAGTATGCCATGAACTTCACTATCTTGAGTAATTTTG